CATCTGTAATTGCCATGCCTTGCTGCTGTTGTACCTCAGGGTTATCAAAATGAGTAAATCTTTCATCTGGATCATCTCTCATTTCCATGCCTGGCCGTGGTTCCTCATCAGGCTCATCTAAACAAAACAAAATCTCCCGTTGGTCTTCTTTTATTGCCATTCGTAACATGTCATTGAGACTGATATCACCTTCTTATGCATCAGACACTCATAGGGAGTTGCACCAGGGGTCAAAATCGCTTTCAAGGTCACGGATGGCTTGAGCAATAGGTCTGGAATTAAGCATGGTAAGGGTACCCTGAATGCTACTGTGAAGTCCATGAGCCAGGTTGCCAAGGTAAAAAAATTGAGGTTTGTCATCTGTGATGTACAACTTATCTTTGTGCTCCTTGACAAACCACGTGTCTCTACTCTCAATTGCACAGTCAACGCTGCCAGGAATCAAGTTAAGAGTCTTGCTGTAAGGAAGCTGGACCAGCAGTTCTGGGACATATAGCTCCAGAACACGTATGATTGTGCCTATGTCAATCAGGGCATCAAACACTATACATAGTGCCTGTACTATCTTTCCACTGTCAACGACATTGTATTTCTCACAACCCTGTTTGGAGATGCCAAGGTTCAGAGCGGAGCACAGGTGTTTGTCAGCATCGGAACCTGTTCTTGATCATTTCTCTTTCAATGTTGGTTGAATGTGTACCGTTCACATGTACACAAGTACATACCATGCTGCGTAGTAAACCAGGCCTGCCATTGTTAGTGTGAGATAGGAGCAGTCGCTTTCGTCCTTAGTTACCCCAAACACACGTACGCCACAAGCTGCAAAAGCGTAAGCTAAAGTGAAGCTGTCAGGAGTCTGTCAGGAACACTGTCACCCTCTCCTGCAAAAGATGGTAGAACCCCTTTGCTCAACACTTGAACCATAATATCCCTTTCCGATTGCTTTATCAGAGATAGTTTCACTAGAGTGTTTATTGGCCCCATAAGGTGCTTTGTGTAATGTTCACGGCTAACATTCACACGTCCCCCAGTGGTCATTGGTGTGAAACGTTGCAATACTTCGGGTGTCACAGATCTCCACCCTCTAGCAAGCAGCTCAAGTGTGTATATGGGGCTGGGCGACACAGGTAGAGCTTTGAAGAGCCTGTAACGCTGCCTGCTTGAGTTAACAAAAACGGGCCAAATTCTACCGGAGAATTTGCGCGTGTTAGGTGTCTTCAGAGTAAGATCGTCAAGAGCTGATACAGCCACTCTAGGGAAGCATGACAAAAGAGCTCCTGCTATCACCTCTACACTCTGGGCTCTCGCTTCAGTAGATTTAGCTGCTTTGTTAAGGACATCCACTGCGGTGGAAATGTTGGGTTCAATGTCACTTTCAATTGTGTACGCGACAAGCTTCCTTCTAGGGGAAAAATTGGAGATTAGCGCAATCGCATCTAGCAGCCTGTGATCGGGATCTGGGCAGCAATTGTACTGACTGTGTTTCATTATGTAGTCGCTCTTTGGTTGAGATATGGCCGTAATATGATCATTAGCAAACATGACAACCATTGTGTCTACGTCGGTACATGCCATCGTAGCCTTATAATCATAGAACCTTATTGAGTGTTTAATGGTGGTATCTGCCCAGGCGCCTATCAACTTTAGGGTATCACACCCCTGAGGCTTGTGTATTTCATAAAGGAGCCAACAAAGTTGAATAACGGCCTCATTTCGAACTAGCCAATCTCGCTGCCGGGATGCCTCAACTGCAGCGCACTCTTTAAGAAACACGCAGGATGCCACTAGCAGACTCTTACATTGAACACAATTCGTTTTGGAAATGTCATCCTCCAGCAACCGTACCGCCTGTACAGAAGACCAAGGAGGGTAGCAACAACATCTCATCCTGTCCAGGATTACCTTTATGATTCTGTAAGAGTGCGTATTATCCAAGTCTTTGGGACACTGTATATGGGGAGTAAATATAGGTGAACCGATCCCATTCCTGGTAACAAGCTTCCAATCGTAAAACTCCTCAGCCCATCCTAGCTTAAGCTCGTTGTTTGTCTCATCTCGTTCCTTGCGCTCTTCTATCCAGTCAGAACGAAGGATGTCATGGAGGACGGGAGCAAGCATAGCGTCACTGACAAATGGTCCAAATAGCTCTATTCCTTCATTGACATTTTGTATGTGCAACAGCCACTTGTGTGTCAAGTACAATAATCCGTCATCGTTCTTCTGTTCAAGTACTATTCTGTTTAACTCTGGCAGATGTATGCACATGAGACACGCTTGTCTCAACCTCAACATCGATTTTGAACACTCAAGCTTTCCGGATAACCATGGCATTCGTCCCTGGTTGACAGATTGCTTGTTTCTAACACCTTGACGTAAGGTGACATTATGCCATTGAGCGCCGTATGGAAAGACGCAGGGCTTTGACTGTGTACTTTGGTGCATAGCATTTCCTTGTCCTGAATTTGATAAATTGAGCAATGTGTACATGACTCGTATTGAACTTTCTCTTCTTCTGACCCTTCATTTCCTTTGCTATAAATCAGGTAATCGCAATCAGAATCCATGGTGTAGAAACACTGTCTAAGACATAGGCACTAGATTAGTAACTGCACACTGGGTGCAGTGCGTTAATCTCGGCGTACCTGCGGCGACTCACTGATTCTCTGAGATTCGATTGTGTCTGAACCAACTGCAGCTCGAGTAATCCCTCATTCCTAATCATCTTTCTTAACTGGGATATAAGCATAGACCTCTCATACAGCAGAGTCTTCACGGATATCTCTCCCACGCCGACCAGGGCCTCCAGCACCGTGAGGTCGCTGCGGATATCAAAGTGCAGGTCGTTCATGCATGAGTCCCAACTCCACTTTCATGAACTCCTGTCCAAAAGGATGCGTATGTCATCTATCAAGGTGTCTATTATCACTTTGCATTTGGTAAAATCGGTAGGCACTGAGGAGAGGTTAAAATCTATATCCTTAAGCGCACTTGCACAGGCGTCTCCTAAGGTCCTTGGGGTGATAGAGGCAACTTTGTTTATCATGCGACTCATATATGCCTTCGCCTCTGCCCAAGGCTCCCCGTGGCTCACGCCCGGCCTGTCCTGAGTCAGGGTGATAAACTCCATCACCGTGATGTCCCTGGATACCTTGGAACACATCTCTCTCCACACCTCTATGTATCTAATGTACAGATTGGTGTAGCGCTGGAGGATCATCCTGAGTGTCTCGCTGTCGGTGTAGCACGTGTTTAGTGCCTTTAGGCTCCATTTTTAAAGTGTCTCGATCCTGTCTCTTTGCAGCCAGGCGAACCATCTCCTGCACGAGGTTGTTGCGCCCTAGTGCGGCCTGAACCATGTAGTGGAGATGGTCGTCGCTCGAGTCGACCCTAAGCTCGGGGTACCTCTCTAACACCTTTTTGAATCCAAGCATAAGCTCAGAAACGGTCTTGGTGTAGCTTGTCAGGGTCCGTCTATAGTTCTCCGCTGCCAATTTACAGTGAGCATCATAAGCCTTGCATCGCATGCATCTACGCTTTGAGCGGGTTACCCTCTCACCACCTGTTGCTCTTGGTGACCTATCGCCATCTGGTTCCCCAGTTGTCCATGTTGAAACTGTCCAGGTTGGACACTTCATATTATCATCCTGGTCTAGGTCAGAGTGTGATATTGAGGTCAGAGTCTCTTCACTGTCACTACCTTCAAATCATATTACGTTAAGCTGTTTCTTAGGTTTATCATCAAAGGAGTATTCTGAACTCATACTGACATCAAGGACCTCATGGTTGTACCCCTTCTCGCATTCATAGTGCACAGACCCTTCTTCCATCGACTCAACAGTATCGTCACGTCGAGCCTTTATGCTACCTCGGTTTGGGCTCGAGGGCTCATTTTCAAATGGTGTTGGTTTGTTTTTGAAAAGGTTGTCGTATTTAGAAAATATATCTTCGACCACCCTGGTTAGGTTTGCCATCAAGGGGAGAGAATGATCAAACGTCTCGTCTCTATCCCAGAGCGAAATGGGCATATTGCTGGTGGCCATAGTCTAGACAAAGGGGTTTCATTTACAGAGAGTCAAAAACCTGTAAGTGTTGTCACCTACAAAAACTGTATATCGAGATCTCTATTTCGCATGTGTAATAAGTACATGTTCTACGTCTACACTTGCCTCAGATTGGGGAAAATCGAGCTAACTGAAGACGAACAATCGTACCTATTTGGAGGCAGGAATTACATATTTGCCGAGTTGGATCCAAAGTGGGCACATGCGTTCATGGGTAGGTGTAGGTCGTTCTATGAAGGGGAGCTGAAAAGATGTCTGTCCTTATCACCCCTTGCAATATCTAATAGAGTGTACAGGGTGAGGACCGGTAAGGGTACGTTTACAACAGTTGATAGCAGCGGTCGTGTGATTCAAATAGAGAATTTCACAGACCCGCCTCTCCCAATAAAAGTGAGCTTTGAAGATAGTACATTTGCAGTATTCGAGGAGACTCTATCCATGTTTTCTGACATGGCTTTTAGGATACGAAGCGGTGGAGTAACGACACCTCCTTCGCTGGTTATCTGTAGACGCTCCGACTTAAATAACTCCTTTGAAGGATTACGTTGTAAATGGCAGACGTCTTACAATGTTAAAGAGCGCGACATTAGAGGGCTGAAAGTTGAATGTGGATACATCTACACTGCAGATGGTCTATCTCTTTACGGCTTGGTGTCATCGTGGAAAACGGATATCTGTCTAATCTTCGATGAGGAGTGCAGAGAAGAAATCTGTGCCCTTGCTTTAGGAGACTGCAAGTTGGGGATTGAGTTCAATTTGAAATGCATTCTGCCCGACCTATGGAAATGCTTTGATTTACGAGGAATTCACCCTTTAAAGCCAGGCTAACTGATGCAAGATATCTTTAACCCCAGGGAGATTAGAGTCAAGCCTCTCCCGGATAAACACCCAAGGTCGCTACCTTGCTGCGATCCTGATGGCTTAGCATCACTAAGAGAAATGACTACACTCCCATCTGGGTTCTCCATTCTTGAAGAAAACGACAACGTGGTGGCACTGAGACATCTACTGAGAGACGCTGTGGTGATCATACCCAAGAGGAGGTCTGAGATGATGACAGGACTACGTGGAAGGGTTGAGCTGATTACCAGTAAGAAATGTGCTCCGAGTGGCCATATAATGGAATTATTCCCGAGAGGCTGCTCTATGTTTAGAGTAGAAAGGGGTATAACTGGGGTACCTCCTGTCTTGATATATTGCGACCCCGATGCAAATGGCCAAGAAAACAACCTGTCTCTTTCTTCCGGGGATGTGCCGACGCTGAATGTTCACAGGACATCAGACTATCACAGGGTGATGCCTATAGGTTTCACTACGAACAATCACGTCTTTGATCAAACTATATGCCTGTTACCGGGATCCATGGACATTGCGACACCCCTCGTGATACGTTTTGCAGGGGCTGTTGCTATCATGTATGCATTCCATGATTTCATACAGCTAAGTGTGGAACATTCAGACGTCACCAGCATCCCCATACAGATGTGTTTCATGTCAACCTTGAGCCTGAGAGAGGCTCAGGCTATGCTGTTATCATACATGTCACTTAACCCATGTTTTGTAGCTTCAGACAGCAGTTGCTTCAGGTTCATGGTTAAAAGTCATTCGATGGTATCAGAACTGAGAAAGATCGTCTCATCTAACCCTAGGGTTCACTATGGCCTAGCCGAGTTAAAGCTCTCAGGTGTAGAGCATGTAATGACCGAGGAGCTGGAAGATGAAATATTGCAAATCCGACATGGGCTAGCGGATGAGGAGCGCAATGAAGAAAATGACTGTGAGGAAAGTGATGAAAGTGATGTGTCACGATCGTCGGGAACAGAGGAGGACCAAGGCGCAGCGTTGCAGGCAAACATACTCTTTATTTAGCGATATTACGACAAAATAAACAAACGATAACGTGACAGTTCACGGTCTAACACAAACCAACTAGAAACAAGACCCCACAACTAATGTGGGAAAACAGCCTCTATAAGTATGGCTCCCAATCAGAGACAACCAGCCACAGCTGACACTCGTTGCCTCTGATTGGGAACCACTCTGGCCAACACAGAAATATAATACATAGATCTACACACCCTGGCTCAACATAACAGTGTCCCCAGAGCCAGGGCGTGACAGTACCCCCCCCTAAAGGCGCGGACTCCGACCGCGTCAACCAAATACCACAGGGGAGGGACCGGGTGGGCACTCCGCCTAGGCGGCGGATCCGGCTCCGGGCCTGATCCCCGCTCCCTCTCCAACCCCCCAAAGTACCCCTGGTCCGGTCTGACCCCGCTGGCCGGAGCTGGACTGCACACTGGTGGAGCGGCTTGCTCTAGCTCCGGCGTGAAGCATCTGATCGGTGCCGGACCAGGCACCGGTGGAACAGGCACGGGACGTGCCGGACTGACGACGCACACCACTGGCTTGGTGTGGGGAACAGGCACGGGCCGTGCCGGACTGACGACGCACACCACTGGCTTGGTGTGGGGAGCAGGAGCGGGCCGGACCGGGCTGGCGACACGCCCCATTGGCTTGGTGCGGGGAGCAGGAGCGGGCCGGACCGGGCTGGCGACGCGCACCATTGGCTTGGTGCGGGGAGCAGGAAAGGGCCGGACCGGGCTGGCGACGCGCACCATTGGCTTGGTGCGGGGAGCAGGAAAGGGCCGGACCGGACTGGCGACGCGCACCATTGACCTGGTGCGGAGAGCAGGAACAGAACAGGCCGGGCTGGCGACGCGCACCATTGGCCTGGTGCGGGGAACAGGAACAGGACAGGCCGGGCTGGCGACGCGCACCATTGGCCTGGTGCGGGGAGCAGGAACAGGCCGGGCCGGGCTGGTGACGCGCACCATAGTCTTGGTGCGGGGAGCAGGAACAGGCCGGGCCGGGCTGGCGACGCGCACCATAGGCTCGGTGCGGGGAGCAGGAACAGGCCGGGCCGGGCTGACGACACGCACCACAGGCTCGATGCGAGGAACAGGGACAGGCCGGACCGTACTTGGGACACACACCACTGGCCCTATGCAGGGATCAGGAACGGGCCGGACCGGACTGGTAACACACCCCAGTACCTCTCGCCGTGCCTCCACACTTTCCTTCCCCTTTAACACCAGTGGCCCCCGTAACCTGGCGGCCTCCTCTGTCAACCCGCTGGACCGCTCTATCGCGGCCTCCTGCTGCCCCGACGTCCACGTCGTGAGCCCCCCCCCCTAAAAAAATTCTGGGTGTCTCTCCTCCCCGTGGACCAGGCCTCCCTAGTTCTCGCCAGACTCTCACCCCACTGCTCCAAAGTCCAACCACTCTGCTCTTCACTTGGCTTGGCCCAGTCGAGACTCTTAATCCATTGCTCCATAGTCCAACCTCTCTGCTCTTCACTTGGCTGGGCCCAGTCGAGACTCCTACTCCACTGATCCCAGGTCCATCCTGTCTCCTCTTCACGCTGCTTGGTCCTGTCTTGGTGGGATCTTCTGTCACGATCGTCGGGAACAGAGGAGGATCAAGGCGCAGCGTTGCAGGCAAACATACTCTTTATTTAGCGATATTACGACAAAATAAACAAACGATAACGTGACAGTTCACGGTCTAACACAAACCAACTAGAAACAAGATCCCACAACTAATGTGGGAAAACAGCCTCTATAAGTATGGCTCCCAATCAGAGACAACCAGCCACAGCTGACACTCGTTGCCTCTGATTGGGAACCACTCTGGCCAACACAGAAATATAATACATAGATCTACACACCCTGGCTCAACATAACAGTGTCCCCAGAGCCAGGGCGTGACATGATGAAATTAACTCCAGCAAGGGCGAGGACGAGAGCGATGACAGTGATTGGGAGGATATATTGAGGGAGATGACGATGACAAAACAAAATTGGAGAAGAAACCTGTGAGGATAAAGCAGCTATGTGGGTGATGAAGATTCTGAGGGATGTAAGTCCCATTACAAGTCTCAGGATGTTGTGGAAAATGAAGATGAACTCATAGCAAATATATCCACAGCTATCCGCGCTGTTCCTACTAGGATCAGACATAGAACGGGACATGTTGTCCTGTTTGGGAGGGGGATAGGTTCAGAGTCTAGTTTCAAAAGGATCACTATTGGTATAAGGACTCTGGGAATGGTTAACTTGAAAATATTGAGAGCTTGCGGCGTGTTTCACTCCAAGCACGGGTACAGCAGAGCTATGTTGAAGATCCCGAACACCAAGGGAGTTATACCAGAACCACCCTGGTTAGGGAAACCCACATTGCTTACGGATGACTTGTGTCTCACCACACCTTTGACAATAGCCAGCGCTCTTCCTACGCCATTGCAAGATTGCAGTGACTGCTTCTTTCAACTGAATTACACTCCCAAGACAGCAAAGAAAAAAAACGACTCGGTGACCGGTGCTGAGGGTGGTGTAGTTGTAGAGATGTCAAAGACAGAGCAGGCTATATGTAGTGAAAATGCACAAGGCTACGAGGAACATAAACTTTACAGACTGTTCAGAACCTGCCGCAGGAAGATGCAGAGGTGCCTCTTCGTTGTTGCCATAGACTACCCTGACATTACAGACCTTGGGTGCAAGGAGCATATGTACAAGCGATCTTGGCTTGAGACACAGAGGAGAAAGCAGACCTCATTGACAGTTCCCTCAACAATAGGGGATGGAGAGCTGTTTCCTTCTATCGAGATTGCAAGAGAAATCGATTTGGAGGAAAGTGAGGAACAGATGTTATCATACCCATTGTCAGAATACTATCTTAACCTCACAGTGAACACTTCCCCCAATCATTACTCAGTGCTACTTGGCCACTGCGCCAGAGTCTCTGTTACAAGGGGTGCTAGACAAACTTTGACGTGAGCGCATGTCTGACGTGGTTTTACAGAGCGGTACACCCGTGTGTACCAGACATGAAGGTGGGAGATATGATGCTTGACTATGAGTTCGTCATGTACGGCAAGGGTGAACTTTCGCCTGTATACGCTCTCCTTAGCAACTTAGCTGAAAGCTGCAGGGTCAACTGCTTCCCAATGGTCAAGTTAATCACCCTCACTAGACCCAGAGGCTCATCGGTGTGGACCAGAGGTGCTGACGCAAAGTTTCACTCGCAGAAGCTGAGGACAAACACTATCGGCGCCTTCTTGTGCGCTCAGGATCACAGGCTTGCTCCTCTGCTGTCTAGGTGCTGCAACCCGAATCCTCTACACGCTTCTGAACTCGCGGAGATGAAGAGGCGCTCCTATTGAGAGCATACTCCATGACACTTGGTTCCGTGTTTGAGTTTCATACAGTACACAGTTTCCCAAGTAATGTAAGGACCAGTCTGGGGGATTGGAAATTCATGAGGCTAGCAAATACATCATATGGTCTCAACCGTTACCCTGGCACTACGGTGGTGGATGGTTTCGCTATAGCATTTGCTTCCAAGTCCCCGCTCTTCTACCTTAAAGGAGAAGGGACCCTTGGTTCATAAGCTAGAATCGGTCGCGGTGGTCGTAGAGAGCAGTTCCCTGTATAGAACCGATGTGTTGAAGAAAGAAGACCCGGAGTGGCCATCTCCCGATCTGATAGATGGGAGAGATCGCATCAAGTGTAAGAACAAGATTTCCGTACTCGATGATATGTTCATGCGAGGTGGAGAAAGGGATCCCTTGGATGGGTATGAGGTGAACGGTAGGTGTTGGAAGAAACTGATAGGTACCCGGTGGACTTTCAAAAAGGCCCCAAGTGAAGCTTCTGGAGACTGGGAACTACAATACCCCCTCTGTGAGAGCCTTACATTGATAGGCGGTCTGGTTCTAATATCCCTACAGCAGAGTGGCACTGTGCTGCCCCGCCCGCAAGTTTCTCTTTGGGAGTAAAGACTTGTGTAGGCAAACTGCAGAGTGAAAGCTTCAACATGCTTGGACGTGTGGTGATTGACTCTAGGACAGCTCGAATCCAAAACCCAGTTGCATGGAGAGGCTTCGACGCCTTGTGCACCAGGGCTCTAACATGCCCTACGGAAAGGGTGTGGACTAGAGGCATTTGTAAGGTGGTGAACAAAGGAATTTGCATGTTCAAACACAATGCTCGGGTGCCAATCGCTAACCTCATAGTGATAGTTGATGCAGGACAGTGGTATGCTTCCCCCAGTTACGATGACAAGACCTACAATGATTACACCAATCGGACCCTGAAGCTCACGTTGACGGTAGTCTGGCTCTGGCTCAGCTGAAGGTAGAAGAGCTGAGAATGAACCTCAAGTCAACAGCCTCCACTTGCACCAACGACAGGCTTATTGCCTACATTTGCATGGCAAAGATAGGCCCTGTCTGTAGATACAACCCAAGGTACACGGTGACAGCTGAGAGAGTAGTGTTATTCAAGCACCTTATAGCATCAGGATTTCCTATTGAGACCGCATGGAGTCTGGTGAAAAACATAACACATTCAAAGCCAGTGTCTATGATTGCGGTTCCATTACAACGGGGGATTGAGCTACAGTTAACAAAAACAATCCAACCTACCACACACAACAGAAAAATAGCCTCACTCATATGGTTGTTCTCACACATCACTGCATATTGTACGCTTCGACAGCTGAATCATGGATATGTGCGAATGGGAGACTCTCCGGAAGATATCGCCTGTGACGGCATGTACATATTCGACCAAGATCATGTGGGATTCCGATTGTCTCGAGGAGATCAGCTCTCGGTCTCAACCGATATCGGGGAGAAAGGAAAATCACCATCCGCCTACATGCCCTTCTCACAAATTGTGGAATTGCTTGCACTGCGGGATAGCGTTCAGGAGAGAATTTGCTGAAAGAGTAATCAGAGCAGGACCAGAACAGTCATATGACGCACTCATGCAGTTTGGTAATGCTCCCATAACAAGCATAGTTAACTTACAGTGGAAACGGGATGCTCTTGACAAACACAGTGCTGATCGCAAAACACTCTACTGAGAGGTGTGAAAAACTCCTCTGAGTACGTGGCAAAGAGGCAGAATAAACAGGAATGTCATAGTAGGCAGCAGACTAAGTCTAAGCATAACAGCAAGTGTAAGGCCTCGATGAAGTGGAAAAGTCCTGTCTGCATGCAAAAGAAAGCCAAAGCATCTGACAAATCCACAGGGCAGAAACAACCTGTTGGAACACCATTGTAACTGTTGAACAGATAGAGGACATACCACCTGTAGTGTTTATTTGTCAATATGTGAAGCTGTAGATGAATAAAGCTATTTTAAACAACAAAATGTAATGAGCCACGTGTGTTTTATGTTGATTTATTTCGTTATCGCTCACAACAGATATGTTTACCAATGACAATTAAAACATAAAGGGTAGCTGAACAGTACATTTCACAGTCACATATAGCATATCCATAAATTTGCTTGCAACATCACCACCATGTTACAGTCACACAAGATTATAGTGAATATATAACCCAGCACAAGGGCTATGTTACTGTCGATACAGCTATGCCTGTAGTTGACGCCTCACTTTCCCCTCTAGTCTCGCCTCCTCAGTTTCATAGTGCCCTGTAGAGAAAGGCCTATTCCGTTTCCCCATGGGTTGCTTAGTCTTCGTATTTGTGTGTGGGGTCAAGTCCATTCCATCATCGGTGTGATTTATAACCTCACAATTTTTCAGGTTCAGGTTGCTCCAAGGGGGACTCTGACTGTGTGGCATAGTGCTGTTGTTGTCAGAGTAGCTAGCATCCGAGATGTACTCCTCCAAGGTGACTGTGACTACAACTGAAAGGGAGCTTCTGAGATCACTTTTAGACATCACCCCCTTCACAAACTCAGGCTGTGAAGGAGGTGATGTCTAAGTTGAGAGTGTGGACCACTGAGTTGAGAGTGTGGACCACTGGTTGTGTCTAGTGCGTGTCTTGTCAAAGCACATAATCATCAACGTCCTGTTGTTAAATAGTTGGCTCAGTACACAGTGCTTTAAATAGGGGAAAACACATAGAGTTAGCATTACCACCATGGTATAGAAGTCCTGACGTCTTTGTCGTTGTACTTGCATGACAGTTTCTTCATGAAGCGGGTGATCTTGTTGTTGTGTGAGTTGAAAAGCGTTGATATTGCAACAGCGCTCCTCAGCACTGCTTCCTTCACAACCGAAGACATATGTTCTGAGCAATTCAGTTCAGGCTTCGTATTGAACTCTATCACCTCAGCAAGCTCGAAGATCCGAGACGTCCAAGAAAATGATTGTGTGCTTGATGAAGTTATCACCCCATCACCCTTGTGCACGATCTCATATTGCATCCTGAAATCATCAGTGAGCACTGTTGAAAATAGGGCGATCATAACAGGTAGGCATGCTTTGAGTGTGATTTGGTACTCTTCTGCATCGGTGGAGCACACCCCTGCACTTTTTCAACACTGTCCCCTCTATCAGGCATGTGGTAGGGACCTCTGAACTCCACCTGAGGTTTGTGAAAGACCAGGAGAGCCGCAACAGGGCAGGAAGTTTCTGATTTCCCCGTTTGATATTGTGTGTGGGTTACCATTGTGTTAATCAAGGCGCAATTCGAACCTGAACACACGTGCCTGCTGCAATGTGTTCTGCACACATACCCCTGAATGTGGTCACGGAAGGAGCATTCGTTCTCTACACAGTAGCTAACCCATTGTGGATCATATATTAACTCAATGTGGGAATGATTTATCTCTGCTCTGCCAGTACAATTCCTTAGCGAATGTCATTTCTCTTTCCTTTACAGCTATTTTGATCCTTTCACTGTCTTACATATAATCTACTTCCTGTTGTGTAGCTATGTAAATGTTATCAAACACCTATGAGCAGAGTGATTATGAGTAATGAGACATTTACAATCTAGGATAACCCCTTACACCTCTCCACATCTTTTATCTCCCCAGGCCAGCAGAGGACAGAGTGCAGATCTCATTCTGGTTGATGAAGTGGGTTTTGTGAATTCTAAGGTTCTACTGGCAGTGCTACCAAACATCGTATTCAGGGGAAGAAAGCAAGTTCACATTACAAGTCATGTCAACAACACACCTTGGCTTAACAAGGTTGCAGATATCCTCAGGGAAGATGGCGAGCCTGCCTACCACGTAGTGTCACAGAGCTTCAAGTGTAGGTATCACGAGAGGGAATCAGGGCCAACGTGCTTCTGTCTTGGAGTATACTGTCCTCAACACATATCCGTAGACAACCATTTGAAGGAGCTGATGAACATGGTAACCCCAAAGGGATTCGAGAGTGAAGTAACGGGGAGCAGTAGCACTTCCTCAATGGACACCAAGAATGAAAACACAACTCCATTTCAGCCCTCTGTCATAAACAAGTTCCTGTCGAATAACAGTGTCACTTTGGAATACATAACTCGGGCTTCTGTGGTACGAGCGTACCTTTGTCTCGACCCAACTTTCGGAGGAGGATCCAGGTCCTGTGCCGGTGTGTGCTGTGCTGTCGAGTTGGCAGGTGGAAATTTGGTCAGCACTTTGAATCAGAGAGGTTCATCATCCACCCAGTTACTGCTAGTGAGATGATGGTATGAAGACTTTGTCTATCCCGTACGCTCTCCTTGATTATAGCCATGTACTTTAGGGGTCCGCTGCGAATAGTGTCTGCTGAGGCGAACACTGCAAGAGTCATGGCATCGTATCCTTTCCAGTTGCAGCTGGAGATGCAGTCATGTACAAAGTGCTGGGGGACCTGGTTGCCTATAGCAAGAGTTATAACCCTAGACAACTCAAAAGGAACATGGAGCGAATGCGGTTGCTCATCCTTACCAAATCGTCCTTTTCCTGTACACCGATATGAGGCTGTCGATCATGAGTATCCTAGCAGGCGAGAACGAGACGAGCTGACTGTATAGGGTTTTAAGCTGGCCATTATCCATGTTAGAGTAGAATAGAACATTACGGTGGAAAGATGTGAAGACTATCATGAACTCATATTGTGATATGAGGTACTGTCATGGAGTCTTCAGTAATTTATCAACCTCCTCTCTAGCATCAAGACAGCCTACACACAACATGATCACTAATCCCTTTGCAGCTTTGTGTAATCCACCGGAATGCTAACATTGCATTTATACTTAGTGGCTACATGTGTTTATATTTAACCCTGTCTACCTGTATACATATCCGTTTGTCTGTGTGCTTTCTTACAGGTAATGGCACTGGAGGAATTGGAGAATCGAGATCTAGATCAAGTTACCAGAGTGTATGCTGCTCTGTTAAGTGCTCACGTTAGACTACTGAAATGTCTGTTGCCCAGAGTGATGTGGAAAGAAGTCCCCATGGTGATGATATTTGAACAGAATACATATTTCAATGCACTGATAGATGTGTAAAAACGAATAGAGCACTCCCTGTTACGCTCTGGGTTTAAGGTCCTGTTCTATAGCAAGTTTTCACATATCAACAACAAGTACATGTTAGGGAAGCACGTGGGTGCCAATACCAAACTTGCTATGGTTCTAAGTACCGTTTCTGCAATCGACAGACAAACGCTACATTACTGTGACACGATAATGTCCCTGGGATGGGCAGTGTTGTCCGAGGCCACCAAGAAAACTTGAATGCTCGAGTCTACCATCGGAACATCGAGGGGTTAGGGGTCCAGCAACAAAATTGGCTCCAATATGGATGTGTTCATGTACAGGCGGTCCGGAAGGGGAGTTAACATAGCCACCGATGTCACAGCTAGTGTGTTGGAGACGAGAGACATTATATCACTACCCGGAGATATGATAACCAACAAGGGTCATGCTGAACAAGGGAAACTGCTACTAGGGAAATTAAAAGAAGAAATGGCAATGGTCAGTATCAAAAAGTCCTCTAAATGTAGTACTGTGACTACTGGAGGTAAAAAAGTCAGTAGATGGAGAGTATACCAGAGACGATATGCTTTAAGTGTTTTTACTTCTTTGTCACACCAGAGACGAGATAAATAATGGTGAGAGGTCTATCAGATTAAGCGGTGAGGTGTACTACAAGTAGAGTTCATATTTTTGTTCGATTTCTGTTTGTTCATGTGGGTGGGAGATATCACAATAAAATAATATACAGTACTATAAAATGTGTTTATTGTTGTCAAGTTGAGTGTGATAAAATAGGGCTAAGTGAACATAAACACAATAACCATATATTTCATGCAAACAAGAGTTTATAATGTTGAGAACAAAGGCGCACATACACAAGTTACTTAGAAAATGTAATAATGTATATTAGAAGTCAATAGGAAACAAGTAATAATGTTGAGCACATGGTGTGTAAGTACAGGCAAACATACATTTGCAATGGTAATATTATAAGTCAATAGGAAACAAGTAATAATGTTGAGCACATGGTGTGCAAGTACAGGCAAACATACATTTGCAATGGTAATATTATAAGTCAATAGTAAACAAGTAATAATGTTGAGCACATGGTGTGCAAGTATAGGCAAATATACATTTGCAATAGTAATACTAGAAGACAATAGGAAACAAGTAATAATGTTGAGCACATGGTGTTCATACACAAGCAAACAGAAAAAAGGTAATATTGTATACACTATTGCAAATTTTCTGTTTGCTTCTATATCAACACCAGGTTCTCAACATTACAACTGTCCTTCTTACTGATTTACCTTGTGAATATACATGCAAGCATAGGGTATTCAATCCTAATACCAGAAAATAATAAAACCATAATGGGTTATGATGTTATCCACAATGTAGCCCTGTTCAGTCCTCATCTTCAAATACAACTCCTTTCACTTGGTTATCAAAGGTGATATTCCCACCGGGTTTAAACCAAACGCCCCCATCTCCACAGCCCTCAAAGTCAAAGCCAATTGATTGTAGAAACGCAACCTCATCTTTATGGTAATGAAGTAGAGCTTCGTCGCAATCTTCGTCTGAAAACGAAGCTTCTTCAACCTCGTCGTCGTAGAATGGACCATTGTCTCCGTGGTAATATCTTAGAGCTTCATCACAATCTTCTTCTGACAAAGAAGCTTCTACATCTTCCTTGTATAAGTAACCATTGTCATCTTCGTCTGTTTGTTTAGCGTACAACATTTCAGATTCTTTTTCACCATCATCTTTTTCTTGGTATGGTGTGTTGTACATTGAAAGCGCTTCAGCATTTGCATCCATTTCGATTGTGTCCTGTGATGACTGGCTGGATCAGCCTTGGTCAGTGTAACATGGCAAACCGCAGTTAAGTGGCAAGGTTCTCAGTGACTGGTAACGGTGACAGGGTTTACGCCGGTTTTGGCCTGTGAAAAAGTAAGGGTGGTACTACACCAGGTCGGAGCTGCTATCGTCTGTGGCTGGGTTGGAGCTGTGTTTGGGTCTGCGGTGTACTCCATTTCAGCTGCGCCAAGTTGTGTCGTATTATAGGGCAGATGCGTATGATGGGTTTGAACCAAAGGTATTGTAACTCAGTCGACCCCGTCGATTCGGAAGAGATGGACAAAAAAATTGTGTTGTAGTTAAGGTCTGAGTTGAGAGTGGAGTCAATTCCACACTGTTTTACAATTATATATTCCAAATGTATGATCGGATAAATGAAAGACTGTGGTAGTAAACCGTTTTTTAACAACACTGTGTAAAGGTTTTTTGTGTTCCTGTTGGTCTAATATTTGCAGGGACTCTTACTATGACCTCCCGGGTTACCTGCGGACCTCATCATTGTAGCCATTGTGGTGTCAGAGCTCAGCTGATTTTGGTGTTGACATAGCATATCCTGGCGTACATGTGGACTATGCTCCCTTGTAAATATACCTTTGGCTGAATGTCCGCAGCATTTCTCCCCAAGCTTCAGTTGATAAGTGGCGTATAAAGTTTCAGCCGGTGCAGCTGGAGTGTGATATGCGCACTCTGGACTTTTGGATCTTCTGGTAACACCAACATGCAGTTTTGACTTTGGCCTCTCTCCCTTGTGAATATTTTGCTGGCTGAACTGCTCTCTTTGCTGATGTTGCAACCTTTGACGATATGGTCCTGTCCAGCGCTGCCTGGTGCTTTCTACAAGCTTTCTATGGTCGCATAATAATCTGTGGCACCCATTGCACCTAGAGCGTTTGTCGGCATGGCAACAAACACTAGAAAGGGCATTCCTATGAATTTGTGCCTTTCAGTGGTATGATTGTACTGGTCCAGGAATTACTGCTAAAGGCCATCAGTATTGTCCATCATGAGGCCTGTAGGGTGTGCTATTTACAGAATAAAATTATTGTACTGCAATCAGAGAGTTCATAGTTAATAATATAAAAGAATGGGGAAGTGGAAATGTTAAAGGCACACTAACCTACCAAATGTCATTGTAAAGCATAGGATCAGACAGTTCATAGTTAATAATAGAAAAAATGTGGCTGTGGACATTGATATGATACTAATCCTACCAAATCTCATTAGGTGTGCCCAAAATGTAGACAAATAATCTTAAGGTCCTTGGTGTGGTATGCCATGGTGCCGTCGGTCTTGGTTCAAGTCCTCTTGAAGTCTTAGCTCCATGATGTGCACTGCGAGTTCATCATCAAACTCTTCTGCGTAAAATCTCTCCTGCTCCTCAACTTCGTACCTGTCATCACCAACTCCACCGGGTTGTCTGTTGTACTGTCTACTGTTGAGGTCACCTCTATCTCTACCATCCCCTACTCCAGCCATAACATTTATGCTGTTCACTGACTCTGCGTAATTAATCAGAATCATCCTTATAAGCTCCCGGTGCCTTGCTGTAAACTCATGACCGAAACCTTGACATTCCTGGTATGGCATGAGTAGAAACTCCTGAAAAGAGATGTCCAAGTTGGCAGGGGTATGTCCTAGCCAAGCTTGAACCAACCTTTTGACATTGGTGTCACGGATGATCCCAGTACATCTCCCGTTTCGGGGCTCAAGGAGTACGAATCCTGCTGCCCATGATGTATCCAACCTGTCATTCGAGTGTAACCATTTTCTATTTGAAATAATATAATCGATTAGTTAATGAGTGGCTGTTTAAATGATGTTCGCATCAGCATACAATTTAGGCTCGGAAATGTAATTTCTAAATGTTAGATGTTAGTATTGAAAAAAACGTGGCATAGGACAACCGTGAGGTGGGGCTGTTTTAAAGCCTCCAAATGTTTTGAGATCCTCAAACATCTCTATCGCCAATCGTTCAATGTAGAGTTGTTTGATTTTAACTATAACCATCTTGACCCCCTGGCATGTTCATACTTTCATACAATCAAAAAAGAAACAAGTGTTCGCAATGTTTGCAAGAGTCTGTAAAGACTCTCCCGTGTCACTCATACAGGAAATAAACGTTATCTTGATTTTCTTTAACAACCCCATTGATGTGTTTGTTGTCTGATTACAGATTCCGATGTGGTCTCTAATAAATGATAGAGGAGTGATGTGCGGTCCTAGTAAGCCTCCCCTAGATGGACATAGAGCAAGCAATTAGTTAGTTACCTGTCAGTTGTTCTTTGGCAGGGTATACATTTAAGCCATAGTGATACAATTACTTTAGCCTTGCTCAAATTCTGAACTTGTCTACATCTAGGTAGGAAATTCGGAGCCCTATGAGGCTTGACTACACGAAGCGGAGCCATATGAGGATGACTACACGAAGCGGAGCCCCGTGAGGCTCGACTACACGAACTGTTGAAAGTTCGGAGGCTTGTGGGGCTATCCGACGCCTATTGGGCTTGTCTACACCAAACGATTTCGTCATTGACAAAAATATTTCCGCTCGGCTCAACTTTTGAACTTGTCTACATCTATGTAGGAAATTCGGAGTCCCATGAGGCTTGACTACACGAAGCGGAGCCCGGTGAGGCTCGGCTACACGAACTGTTGAAGTTCGGAGGCTCGTGGGGCTATCCGACGCCTATTGGGCTTGTCTACACCAAACGATTTCGTCATTGACAAAATAATTTCAGCTCGGCTCAACTTTTGAAGTTGTCTACATCAAGGTAGGACATTCGGAGCCCTATGAAGCTTGACTACACGAAGCGGAGCCCTATGAGGCTTGACTACACAAAGCGGAGCCCCACGAGGCTCGACTACACGAACTGTTGAAAGTTCGGAGGCTCGTGGGCTAGCCTTCTCCAAGTTTCGGAATATCCGACGCCTATTGTGCTTGTCTACACCAAACGATTTCATCATTGACAAAAATATTTCAGCTCGGCTCAACTTTTGAACTTGTCTACATCTAGGTAGGAAATTCGGAGCCATATGAGGCTTGACTACATGAAGCGGAGCCCCGTGAGGCTTCACTACACGAACTGTTGAAAGTTTGGAGGCTCATGGGGCTTTCCAACGCCTATTGGGCTTGTCTACACCAAACGATTTCGTCATTGACAAATATATTTCAGCTCGGCTCAACTTTTGAACTTGTCTACATCTAGGAAGGAAATTCGGAGCCCATGAGGCTTGACCACATGAAGTGGAGCCCCGTGAGGCTCGACTACACGAACTGTTGAAAGTTCGGAGGCTTATGGGGCTATCCGACGCCTATTGTGCTTGTCTACACCAAACGATTTCGTCATTGACAAAAATATTTCAGCTCGGCTCAACTTTTGAACTTGTCTACATCTAGGTAGGAAATTCGGAGCCCCATGAGGCTTGACTACACAAAGCAGAGCCAGGTGAGGCTCGGCTACACGAACTGTTGAAAGTTCGGAGGCTCGTGGGGCTATCCAACGCCTATTGGGCTTGTCTACACCAAACGATTTCGTCATTGACAAAATAATTTCAGCTCGGCTCAACTTTTGAAGTTGTCTACATCAAGGTAGGAAATTCGGAGCCCTATGAAGCTTGACTACACGAAGCGGAGCCCTATGAGGCTTGACTACACGAAGCGGAGACCCACGAGGCTTGACTACACGAAGCGGAGCCCCACGAGGCTCGACTACACGAACTGTTGAAAGTTCGGAGGCTTGTGGGCTAGCCTTCTCCAAGTTTCGGAATATCCGACGCCTATTGTGCTTGTCTACACCAAACGATTTCATCATTGACAAA